AAGCTCTTGTCAATGCCTCTGACTAGACATTTTGTACCTGCATATGTCCTGGACCAGAGAGAGATTCTACCCAGCAGCCCTCTACACAGAGTCCCTGCATCACAAACAAACGTCTCTGCCCATCCTTATAGCAACTTACTATGCTGCTCTACAATGTGATCTTCTTTAAATGCTCCACTGGTGTCTGCCAGAAGCACAAGTCAATATGAAACTTACAAGTACCAGACAGCTCCTTCATCTCTCCATGACATATAAATCTTCAGGATAAATCCATGCTCTCCAATGTCACTTCTTATAAAAAGACAATCAAAGAAACTAAGGTACAGAAGTGTGAAGACAAGGCGTGTGAGTCAAATTATATTTAACCTCTCATTTAGTGATTAATCTAACAGAAATAATTTGTTACATTTTAAATTTTACTCTCTGGTTCACATGAAGGTTTTTTCAAGTGTTTCTGTTCTGTGCTGAACTCTTCCCCTCCAAGATAAAGCCATTCTTATCCTCAGGAATAAACCTTTAGGTTATTTTTCCTTGCCAATGAAATGAACCCATCCCTGAAGCAGGAGCTCACAGGCTCTTGGCTCAGTGTGACAAATTCCCGTCACATCCCTGGAAGATGCTGAACAGATGGGCATCTCACAGGGCAGGATTTATGCCATACTGTATCCAGACAAATTCAACAGGACCTCAGACATCTTCCAAGGCCAGGGATTGCATCTCTACATACTGCAGGATACAGGATACTGACTCCATAAAGATGCAAAGAGCAGGGCAGCTCAGTCACCAAGTCAGCAGAATTCCTGGCTGCTCCTTGGGTAAGTTCTGCTACTGTTCCTCACTCCAGCTCACCTGAGAGGCCTCTCCACCTGGGCAGCGCCAACTAGAGAAGCTCAGCAGGTGATTGAAATATGCAATTTTGCCATCCCAACAGTGGCCCTTGTTTCTAGTAAGGAGGCAGTTGCAAGCTGGAATTGCTCCAGGATGTCTTGGGCTCTGGGTTCCTCGGAATAGAGTTGCTGCCTGATAATAACCAAGTCACACCAGAAGCCCATCAAGATTATTGCAAATATTCATCCTGCTGCAATATGCCTTAAAAATTACTGACTTTAAGTTGCTTTCCTCCAGTCTGAGGAATGACAAGACTGGAAAAGATACAGAAGACAGCTAAAGCAAGACAAGAAAGGAGACTGCTCCTCCAGCTTATGCTCCACTGGGACAAGGGCCTAACAGAAGAAGTGGAGACAGCAGAGGCAAGAAACCCCTCAGCAAAAGGAGCTCTGGACTGAGCAGAGCGATTAATACTGCATCCAGCAGTGGGAAGATGATGGGAGCTGGCAGCACCCAGGATCACTCTTGGGAACACAACAGGACCTGACCTCTGTTTCCAGCAGTTGCACACTCACTGGGAAAACAAATGGCTCTGATTATTGGCTACTGATCTCAGGCTGGCCCAAACCATTTGAAACCTGTTCATCAGTAATGCCTCTGTGGTACCTACAGGAACAGCAGACAAACAGGCCACAGGAAAGCACATACCTGCTAATGAGCCAGCCCTCAACTACTAATTATCTCTCCTTGATTCCCTCCTTAGCTCATTTGAGACAGAGCAGACTTTATTTTTGTCCTCCCTATTGAATCAGCATCTTCAGCTCCCAGAGGATTTTTTGTCGTCCCTACTGAATCAGCATCTTTAGTTCCCAGAGACCTTTCTGCTGCTGGTAGTACACATGCCAAGAGCCAGCTTCACCAGGGCTAAGCAGGACTGGAGGCCAAAACACTCCCCCCATCTGCCTTTTCCCACACTCCTTGTGGACTCCTGCCTATACCTTTGAAAACACCTCCCTGCAAGGAGTCCTTGGCAGAGCTTGTGACTATAAGGCACCAATGCACTTCCCACATGTTTGCTTCAGTTCAAAACATTCCGAGTCTGTATCTGTCAAGAGGGTAGGGACCTTTCATCTGTCTTTTTCCAAAGGATACTGGCACATCTGTGAAAGGTAAAGCCATAGGAAGCTTCAGAAAAGCATCTACCAAGACAAGAAGGGGGATTCAGTTATCCCCAGTGTGATCAAGAAGAATAAAGCATATGAGCTGCTTAGTGTGGAAAGTTAAACAATCTCTTGGCTCCAGAAGTCAAACCCTAAAGTCAGGATAGCTTGCAAGATGGATGAATTGAACAGTTCTAGCTTTAACAGAGCTTTATAGCAAGTCTCACACACGGGGGGGATCACCATTTGCAAAGACAAAGTAAATTCCCAACCAGAAGCAGCACTTGCTCACAACTTGTCTGCCTTGCTTTGCAAGATGGATCTCAGGGAGCCACTTACAGGACCTGGGCAATATTCTCAGAAACAAGAACTCAGGGGAGAAATGGAAAATGAGTTATGAAGGAATCAATTTTCCAGGACTGTGCCTATTTTAGCACACTCCACAGAAGAGCACAATGCTGACGCTGAGTAGGGAAAAGCATGTCTTGTTCTCACTGACACCCATGTGTGAATAAAAGGCTACTGAGTAATTTTCCCTTTTTTTTTTTAACCATGCCTCATCTTGGAGTGGCTGAGGGGAGTGTCACAGCCAGCTGCAAGAGCAGAGGATGGGTGATCGAGCCTCAGTTCTGTCCTTAAAGTCATAAATACCTTTCTGGTGTTCCTGTGCCACAGCAGTAAACAGAAATACCTGTTTAAACTCTATCACAATTCTGGCCCCCATCCCTTCAGCCTTGCTTCCTCCCAGAAATGAGGGAAGATCTGAGGAGCATGTAGTACTCAGGCAGGGGCTTGCTACTGACACGCAGGCACATATTTGCAGTACATCATACTGGGTAGCAGAAAACGATCCAAAATGTACACACAGGCAGGACTCCTCAAACCTTCACCAAATTTCTCCTGTCTTTAGCATAAAGATGCTACGTGATCATTTACCAGCTTCAGTAAATTCTGCCTTAAGAAAAAAATCAGCATTATCCTCCAGCCTGTTCCCTGGTGAAGCAGTTCTCAGGCTGCCATTTCCCAGCACTGCCGTCAGTGGGACATAACCCTCCAGAGGTCACCTCCAAGGAATGGTCTGCATGAAGGGGTTTGATCAGCCCACCTCCACCTCCAACAAACCCATAGCAAACTCTACTCACTCACAGCCTTACACTGCCCTGCCCCATCATTTCCAAGACCATCACATTGGAGAATAAAATCAGGCATTGCTCCTCACAGTGACAAGAACAGGCTGGCAGGGTTCCTGCACCAGAAACTTCAGCTCCACACCCATGCATGGACCAACAGCAGCCAAACTGCTGAGCCTGACTGAGGCAAACACATCCTGACTGAGGCAAACACAGAATCCTCTGCTGCCAGGAACTCACTCAAGGCTGCAAGAGCTACTCATTGGCTCAAATAATAATTAAACACCAGTACTTACATGGCTGCAGACTTCATCCTAATGCACTCAGCATGCAGTGGCCAAGGCTGAACCTGAGAGAGGATGCTGTGAGTCGTGTCAGTGCAGCACAACCTTCCTCCCTGCCAAGGTGTTCAAACAGAAACAAGAAAAGCAGTAACATGGAAGATCAACTTTGAATCAAGTCCTCCTTCCCTTCACACTGAGTCCCAAGTATGCAGCTTGCATACCTTTGGTAAATAACATGTTTGTGGCCACAAACAAAATGCAAGGACCAACTTTTCAGCCAGCCCCCAGCCCTGCTGCTGCTTTTGGTTCTCTGGTAAGAAAGGTTTTCTAACCTCCTCCCTCCTACCTAACAAGGGGCACCTACAGCTCAGGGAGAACAGCTGGAAGAGTTTGGGCCCAAACATGAGGAAAGGGATGAGGGAGGGAAGCAGAGCAGCTTTGCTAAGGGACCTCCTTCCTTCCCAAAGCACAAAGGCTCCCAACCAGCAAATGGCACCCTCTCTGTCCCTTAGCTCTAGGAGCAGTCACAGTCCAAGAAGTTTTGCTTCCTGGGCAACTCTCACTGCCAAGGATGCTTTGAACAAAAGGACAAATAATAATCATAGAAAAGAAAAAAAAAAATTCAACTCCAGTACAAAAATAATTTAATAAAGGGTAAGTTTCAAGAAAATATGTGTATAGTAACAATATTTTAAGTAAAATGTCCACAAAAATATACATGTCTAATGTGATTACACATTAAGTTTTCCAACAGGTCCTGTTTTATACTTGGTTCAGTCCATGTAGGTTTTCATCTAGGAAAAGCCTTCACTGCTATCAGCCTTCCTGGGACAGTTGAGTTTGCGTAACAGAATCACACAAGAAATGTTTTCTAACTCATTTTAGGCTCATACAAATAAACTTTAGAGGTGGTAACAGTCCAGAATAGATCAGGTCATACCATATAGTTTTAAAAAAAAGTGAATACAAACAAGGAAAGTGAAAGTCAGCTGCCCAAGGGACACTGTCAGGCAGAAATATCAGCCCTACAATACACACCACACAATACTGACACAGCTGGAAAAGGAGGGGCATGAAGGGAAGAAGGGCAAGAGGGAAGGGAAAATCCCAGGAGGATGATTCCTAGGAATTGTGGAACTGCTAAACATGGGGGCTATAGAGAGGCCAGGGAAAAGCACACGTGACCAACATATGCCTAAAAACCGGACAATAGAAGTAACATAGAAGATAAGTTAACTAGAGGAATATGAAAATGAATTAGTGGAGATTGTTTATTTCTTATTTTTCCAAATGGCTACTGAGCTGTAGAATTAACAAGTCTGTTCCAAAAAGCCCTCACCAATAGTGCTAATTCAGTCAAGCCAGAAAGAAAAATCTGGTTACAGAGAGATGGAAGAGTACAGCAGAAAGTAAAGAAAACGTTCCACCAGCAGAGGACAGGAACGCAACGCTGAAGGGGAGATGCCAAACAAGACAGATCAATGTTGTCAGTGGGAGAGGTACAATGCCACAAAAAAACAAACCAAAGGGAACAACACAAAATCCCCATCCCATAGAAAGAAAATGGAAAATGGCTAAAGAAATAAAAGGACACACACTTTCCAAAAGATTTTTTGTTTTATAATCAAATTTCTTTTATATAGACAACTGAAACACACCAATATTTTGTGTGAAAAATATTTTTAAATAAACTTCGTTTGTTCTAGATTTTTGTACATTCTGATATACATACATAAAAGGTTTATAGCACTGTAACCAGGATCAAAATAATATAAAGGATTGAAATAATTGCTCTCATTTATCCTTTCTGAACCAAGCTGGCTGCTGTTGCACTATTAGACTTTAAAAATTATTATCTTATTATTAGTGGACAGCCAACTCTTAATTGGATAACACTCAAAACAAACTCCAGATTATTATTGCACAAGAAGCCAGTGAAGGCATATGGCATAGAATGATCGAAGTCCCTTACTGTTAAAACCGAACACCCCAAAATAGAAAAATAGAACTGGAACATGAAACACACCTAATAAACTTTGTTTTCTTCTTTAGTTTGAGTCTGGAGTGTGAAAAGTGCCTTGCAGACTTTTAAGCTGCTCTGATTTCCTTTGCATTGGTGAGCATTTTTCTAGGTTCTCTTTAGCAAGCCTTTGCAGAACAAAGGCCCTTCTGTTCACGGAGGTTTTTTTCTGCTTTGTTTTGGCTATTTATGTTTCATCTTCAACTTAGGTTTCTTCAGTCTATGAACCTGCACAGACTACTTAGCCATAAACTCTACAAGTAGCCAGAGGAGGGAAAAATAAAAATTAAAAGAAAAAAATCCCAACATTTCTTCTTCTTGCTGTTTTTATTTTAAAAAGTACTCCTTTTGCCCTGAAGCCTCCCTGCTCTGCCAGTGTCTGAGAAGGAAATCACAACAGCATCCCAAACCCAGCAAAGTTCTTGGATCTTTTAAAAACCTTTCCTTACAAAAAAAGGTTTTATTCACAAAAAGTTTGCCACAAAACTCCCCTTTGAAAGCTAAAAAGAAAACCCCACAACCCACCCATCACTGCCCCAAATCAGGTGAAGAACAGGTTCCGCCACCTCTCAGCGTGGCCGTCACACGACAGTCTCGACACCGATCAGCTTTGGTGTGAGGATTCGCGGGGTGACTCCATTGTTCAGGTCTTCTTCGAATTCCAGTAACTGCCCCATAAAGTTAAGGTTGGGGGAAATGATTGGTCGTTTTCCTTTGACAAATTTATAGGCATCCGTCATGGTCATGCGTGTGTGCTTCATTAAGTACGCAATAACGATGGTGGCAGATCGGGAGACACCGGCCTGGCAGTGGATGAGGAGACCTTTTCCACACTGATGAGCTTCCTCTGCAAACAAGACAGAGAAAGTAAGATTTCTGCCAGTTTGTAAATTAGAATAAGCTCAGTGCAATTAAGAGTAACTTAATATGAAAAGCCCCTCAATTTGATTACAAGCACAGCAGTGTCTCTTCCCCTTCCCCTCCAGCACATCTTCCCCCGAGGTTTCAGAGCTACTGAATGTGAAACCCCCTGTCCAGTCTGACACTGAAAATCCTCACATCCACTCTCTGCTCTTTATTAGTAGAACCATGCTAGAGAGATGCTGCTTCTCTGCCAGAGAGCATTTTGTAAGGAGGGCAAGGTCCATGATGAGGAATCTCAGGCTCCATTTCCACCTCAGTTGCAATGCCACTGCATTATGTCAGCATCTCACCCTCCCTGTTTTTCAGAGCAGGGAACCACTTCTAGAAACCAGGTATTTTCAGATTCAATTAATAACAATACATGTATTTCAACGCCCTGTCCTCTGAAGCTTTACAAAGGTACTCTTGAAAGGAGCTTCAATTGGTGTCTCTGCTGTGGTGCCTCTGCAAAAGGAGGAGCTGGACACACACACACCCCCACTCCACCACGATTCATCACTTAGAGGGAGGCACCCTAAGCAGCATTTAGGGGGGAAGGAGTCCTTCTAACCACATGCTAACAGGACCTGAGAGAGGACAGTCACTAGCATACCATCCTCATCTGCCGCAGCTTGCTGTTAAAACAGGAGATGGAACTTTCAGGAAGTAACACTTCAAACTACTTCTTTTATTTCAATCCGCAGGAGGAACGTGAATTTAGTTTGCAGATTTTGGCACGAATCCAACTCCACCAAGAGTACAGTTCAACCCACCCCACCCCACCCCACATGCTCAGCCTGTACTGTGAAAGCATAAATAAAGCAAATTTCCCTCTAGACATTTTTGCCAGTTAGTATTTCAGAAAGCTGAAACTCTCTAATGTATTTTGACACACATTCCCAGAGAGTTTCTGATGATTTCACTTCCTATGGCTTTAGTCTTAGCCAAACCTGGGGCTGGTTGTGGTTTTTTGAAGACATATTTAAAGAAGCATATGCCAACAATCCGGTGTTTAAACATTTCCAAATCTTCTCAAATGCAAATTAAAGTTTACCCTGAGGAAGGGAAAGCTTTGACCAGTTACTTCCCCAGCTGGTTAATTTGAGACGGAAGAAAAACTCTCAATGGAAAAATACTTGTTTATTAAAACAAAGATAGACCCTCAAGCTGTAATTATTAAAAAGGAAGTAAAATGGGTTTTGAAATGCTTTCTAAACCTTTCCAGAGCAAAGCTGCTTTCTCTGCTCTTGGTAAGGTCACAAGCCAAACACTATCTTTCAGTGGTTTTGAGAACTAATACTGCAGTTCATGGGGATGAGGGGAGCAGAAATCTCTCTCTTTTACCTGAGAAGGACCTCAATGGAGTTTCACAGTCTCTTTACCTAAGCTTAGCCTATTGTATCTCCCCATCTTGTTGAACTCAAAGTTTAAAGTTTTACTGGATTTCTTGATACAGCTGTTTTCCCAGAGGATGAAAGCAATGTTTCCTTTTCTCTGCCCTTCACCCAAACAAGTATTCACCTTCCCAGGCACACAGTAACCAGCAGCTTGGGGAACTGACAGCACTACTGGTACTGCTGGGACTGGGTTAGGAACACAAGGGAAAATTTGAGTTAGAGATCCTTTGGTCCTTCACACTGTAGAAGACAAGCCAAAGGCTCAGAGTGGTAAAAGTCACCTGAACTGCAGCATAAGCAGTGTTTTCTCTGTTCACTTCACTAAAGCAGTGTGGCTGCAGAGCACAGGCATCAGCACACTGCAACCCCCTGCCAAGACACAGCCAGGCAAGGCTGAGGAGCCATCTGCTTCTGAGCTGCCAGCCCTGCCCCACACATAGCAGGGGCAGATGGGCTCACAGCAACCTGCTGAGCCTGCCCCTCCTGCCCTGGCACCTGGTCCCACAGCTGGGGTCAAATCCTTGCCAAGCCTGAGTGTACCTGAGTGCAGAGTCAGCACAAAGGAAGGCAAGGAGGACCACAGCTCTACACCCCGCCCCAGTACGGGGTCAGTCAAGGACCTATGCTACAGTGCACACACAAGGATACTTCTTCCTTTGTCTAGTACTCCTCCATCAAGCCTGAAGTACTGGTAAAGGAATTAGCTCAGTCTCATCACAAGAAAATAGAATTTTATGTCAATGGTATATTTGGCATATTTCAGAAAACCTCTCGGGACACATACTTGTGCTAGGGAAGCACCTTTACTACGCCACAAAAGCAGTGTGCACAAAAACATCTAGAGGGGTATAGAAAGGTCCTCAAAAGCTTTCATACTACATGCTGAAGTCCTCTCTGACCAGCCCTACTTGAAGTGGCCATCTGGCTTTAGCCTAGCTGAGCATGGCCCCAAACTTGGCTGAGGGCTGTGCTGTGTTGATTGTAATGAGGTCCAGAACAACACTGCTGGGTCACTTCTTCAGCAATCTCCACAACAAGCTGCGTGTCTGTGGTGAACTCTCTCACACAGCCTACAGGATTTAGAGGCTTATTAATGCAAGTTTTCATCACTATCCACTCAACCACACATACACTCTGAAGCTACAAATCTAATGGTGGAACAAGCCAAGTGTGAAAGTTTGTCAGTTTTCTCATTAAGTTAGGAAAGACTGAGATACCATTAAGAATAGTCACTATAAAAAACTGGCTCAAAGTCACTGTGTGAAAACTAGGAATGCAAAGGAAACAAAAAGAGGGGATGATAAAAGTCTCAATTTTGTGGGGTTTCCTGAATTTAGAAGCCTGAAGGTAGGCGTTACTATCATTGGATAAAAATGGTAACCTTGGGCTACTTAACCAGACGTGCCAGAGATGAGAAAGGACAGAAATATGAGGTGCTCAACATTTCTGACAACCCAAACTAAAGGAAATTTGGCCTTAACCAGCCTTCAGAGTTGTTGGCAAAGCATAAAGTTCACTCTAAATTGTTATAACGGGTAAAAATAATAACAATAAAAAAACAAACAGGAGTATTTCCAGACAAGGGTAATTACCAATGAACTCAAAAGCCTCTTCAAAATACTGCCTGAGATTCTGCTTGTTGCTGTCAGTGGCCGGGAGCCGCTTGTAGTTGAACATGCCTTTCTCATAATGGTACAGGGGCAGGTGAGTTGTCACGTTGATGACGTAGCCGATGTTCATCCTCTGCATTTTCTCCAAGTCCTGAGCATCATGCTCATTTCCAAGGAATAGGAAGGGCAGGATGGGGGTGAGCTCAGCGTTCTCAATGTCTGGCGTGGTAGGGATGGACTGAGGTAGCACAGGGGGCACAGCGGAGGCACCGCCCCCTCCTCCCCCCTCGGGGCACTCTTGCAGCTGGAGGGAGTTGTCGCAGAGGTTTTCATGGTTCTGCTTGAAACTGCTGAGTCCTCCTGGGAAGAGAGACCAAGCAAACATTTTGGTTAGATATCCCAAGATTTCTTCAGAGCACACAGTGGGGCCAGAAGGGCTGGAGCTGGCTCTACTGTCCCCACCACGACTGTAACAATGTCACTGGGCTGTCAACAGCAAGGGTAGTATGAATCAGCAGCAGGCATTGTCCTCCCTCTGCGTGGTGGATGGTGCCAAGGAACAACAGGGCTCACAGACAAACATGCCTGTGTGCAACATCAGCCTGCTGAGGCTGCCTCACCTACCAGCCCATGCGGCAAGGAAGGTGTTCCAAGAAAGAAAACATCACAAAAACTAAGGAGCCAAGGGGCTATCAGCACACTAGAGCAGAGCATCAAGCCAGCTGGGACAGTCTTAGCTTTACCTGCCCTTTAGCAGTCCTGCAGGGCATCCCCCCACCCAGGAGCTCTGAGGAGGATGGGAGCAGCTCACCCTGGCATCGCTCCAGGGAACAGCATGTATCCATCTGTGCGCCCAAACAAAAGAAAACCACTCCTTGTAACCTAACAGCAACTGAGGTGCTTGCTTAACATGTGGCAAACAGCTCTCCTTTTGCTGCCCCGGACACCTGAAAATATCTAGCAAGAGTTATTTTTAGGACATGAAAATGGATTGGGAAATGGATCTGAGGGGGGAGGGAGAAGTCAGTTTTTCAGTGAAGGAAACTCATGCCTTCCCTGCTCTATTGCTGGCTTTTTCAATAACTATTTCCCTCCCCTCACTTTTTGTTTTCTTTTTTTTTTTTTCCTTGTTTTCTGAGGAGGGCGGCAGGGCGGCTTCGAAGAACTGGAGCAAGCAAAGTGGACCTTCTTTCTACACCTCATTCTGCACTGACGTCAGTGGCAGGCTCCCCACCTGCCCAGTTTCCATGGTGATCCCATAAAGCACACAAAGACATCAGCTGGCATGACATCAGCTCTTTGAGTGCAAACAACACAAGAACTACTACTTTGTGTGAGGCCTTTGGTAGGAGGCGGCGGCGTTCCTGGGAGCTGCTGACGTAATGCTAACAGGTGGCTCCTCTGAAAGAAAAAGGCGGAAAGAGGAGAAATGCAGGGATGCGTTCCTCCCAACCTCACACACGTTGCTGTTGTACTGGGATACTTGAAGTCATGCTCAGAATTGAGAGCAGCCAAGTGCTCAGGCTCAATTGCACTTTGTTAACTGCAAGCCAAAAAAAACCCAGGAGAGGGGACAGCAACTCTGAAGTTACTAGAAAGAGCCACACTAGCCAAAATAAATGCAGAATGTCACCCTCCCAATAACGTTATTTAAAAAGGAAAAAAAAAGTAAAAGAGAGGCTATTTCCATCCTTTCCATGCTCTTTCACAGTGAACCAGTGAAGTTGTTAAAGTGAAGCAAAATATGCTCCCTCTCAGGCTCTGGATCAAACACTGCTGTTGAGGGCTGCAATTCAAATGTCCAATTCAAGTGTCTGTCTGTGACATGCCTAAGGTGGGACTCACCCAGGCCCATTTCAGTGCCCTGTGCTATATTCCAAGGGCACGAGGCACCAGACTAGTTACAACCATCTGAGCCCCTCTAATGAAAGTGCCCTTTTCCACATCCAAACTTGTGTCCTTCACACACTGCTAGTAACGTAATTTCCCTGAAATCCTTGAAATGCCTACAAAATGCAGAATATTTCCCCTGACTAAAAATGTGCTTGTCTTTAACTATTTCTGCTGTTTACAGGACACAGAGCAAACAGATTTGCCTTAAAGATCTCTGTTCTCAAAGTTGTAACAGGGGATCAGGATAGAAAGAAGAGCAAGGACAAAAATTTGAGCTCAACTGCACCACCTGGCCTCAACAGGCCTGAAAAGTCTTCTCAGTCCACTCAAGAAAACAAACAAGATGATGGTCCCCAAGCTGAAGATGTTTGAAGTCTCATCTAAACCAATAGCCCCAGCATGTAGTCTAGGCTACAGGCTAAACCCTAACCCACATTCCCATCTTTCTGAATGGGCAAGCAATCCATTCAGCTTGAATATTGTTTTTTAAACAATAGCCACAGCATGCTGGGATTCCCAAGGAAACCCCTGAAAAAGTTTTTTTAGTGACCCCAGAGGCAACGCTCATTTTCCACCTCTCCTGCTGACTTCTGGGAATAAGCAGCCCCAGCTGGAGGTAGGACCCCACTGGTTCATCACTCAGGTAGGGACATACTGATGGTGTGGCAGACACCACCTTGCTTTACCAGCTGCCTTCTAAGACACAGGAGAGTATCAGGGCAAAGGATGGGAAAGGACCCCAAATACAACATGCGGAAGATGCCTCAAAAAGTGGAGAAGCCAGACATATAATACCTTAATTCACAATTTTTTACAGACATTTGCCAGTGTCACCATTCCTAATGTCAGTTCGCATCCCCCACTCTCCTTGATCATCTCCTCATGTGAGAGGAGAGTTAAAAAGTCAGTTCAAACAATACTTAAAGCAACTCTCAGAGCAAATGTTTCTGAAAGAACACATTGCTGGGGAGAGGATTACTAACCTGAACTGACTCAGACACATCAGCAAGGGAGGACTGGACAAGAACACTGGTACCCAGGAAAAGATGCAGCAAGATGCAGTCATTGCAGGAAGCTTAACCCAAATCCAACAGCAGGAGCTTAGCTTGGATCTGTGCTGCCATATGAGTCATGCAGGTCCCAAAGAAGGACTCAGACACCTCCTGAATGCTGTTCCATTCTCAACACACACGATCCTTGCACAAACTGATTTATGAGGCACTAGAGTAATTTAAGTGGAGCTCAAGCATGCATAATGCTCAGATTTTTCTTAAATTTGAGACTACCTCCCAAAACAGGTCCAAGCAAAGTTAATAATGATCAGTCAGAAAGAGAGGGATGGATTTTCCACATGAAGGTAAATACAACGTACAAAGTATTCAAATGCATCTGTATTCCCTTGGCAAGCAGCTGCTATTTCAGTTCATTTCAAGTCTTCATTTAGGAAAGGTAGAAAAGGTGGGAGAGAAGAAGCTGTACCCACACCAGAGGCCAACACAAAGCTCTTGCAAGCCTGGTCTGAGAGTTTATTCATTAAACTCAGTAAGGTACAAGACACCACTGCTACTGACCACAACTCCAGATCACAAGAAAGCTCAAGGCATGGATGCAGAGACACCACTTGGGGTTGTAACAGAAGCTGTTTTGTGGTTGACCCTGCCCAAGCCTTTCCAAACCTGGGGAATGAAGGAAGCATTACAGAGGGCAGTAACAGCACCTCTGGCCAAGAAGCACAACTTAGCAAAAGCTCCTCACTAGCACAAAAGCTGCATTTTAAAAGCAGCTTTTCAGATGCTGTTTGCAATATGGGAAAAGCCTTCATCATATAGAGACAGCCTAAATAGAGAGATAACATAATATATCCACCAAGAAAGCCCATGGGAATGCATGGCAGTGCTGCTGGAACCACACCCATGGAGTCTGGACTCACCTTCAGTGACAAACCAAACATGCCAGCAGTAAGATGAGCCACTGATGGATGTCCACTTCAACAGACTGTCCTGCCAGCAGCCCATCTCTCCTGGCTTTAAACACTCCAAAGAGCTTGTAATGACCAAAGCAGGGGGAAGTATGCCCAGCCAGTGGGATGCAGCCTGTGCATGAGCACGGACAACATCCCAAGTGCCTTTGCTCTGTTCCAGAACGGCTGCTGGACAGGTGTTCAGAGGGCTGAACCTACCCAAACCCAAAGAGAGATGGACATACAAGGACATTCAGCACTCTGGGGAACCCAAGGTATTTCTTCCATAAGGAAATCAATCAGTGAAGCAGAACCCATGCTGGCAGATGGCCTTTTGTGGTATTTAGCAGAATACAACAGAACACCAAGGGCTCTTTGCTCACCACTGATGCAAGACCCAGGTTGCAGAACCATTCTTGCAGTTGTAACTGCATGACATTTTCCAACATCCTGCCCTGCCAGAACAGTTAGTAAGTGACAACAGACTTTAGAGTGTCTGAGACCTCAAAACTTTTGGGGAAGCTTTAAGTCAGCACTGTACATGCTCCAGCTACTCCCACTCATTTTTTCCAATTCTCTGCAGCCATCTACCCATAAACATCTCACTTAATGCTCCTCAAACTCCCCCACCAGGCAGCACCCAAGCAGCAGCTGCACACAGATTTTCCAGCTCCAAAGCCACCCAGGAGCTCAGGGCTCACACCAGCACTGCAAGACCAGGTGAGCAGCTGAACAGCAGCCAAAGCAGCTCTGAACAAATAAAAAAAGACAAGAAGCATGGTTTTGGCATAAAAGTCATGCTTAACACAGTGTCCGTCATTTGCCATCAGAAGAGGGCAAATACAATGCAAAACAAGCACAAAAAGTACAGCAAGAATGAGGCAGCCAGCTTTTTATAAGAGACTATGGCCTTAAAATAGCATCATCTTCAAAGAAATCCAGAGAAACAAACCTTACCTGCACAAATTTATAAAAGTGGAATGGCTGGTTGGGGATTTGTTTGTTTGAAGGGATTTTTTTTGTTTGTTTCTACCATTACAGCTTTTTAGTTTAGGGGTTTTTTTGTTTGTTGTTCAAGAACATTGAGAATTTAAGTACAAGTAGTACAGTAACATTTGGCCTCCTCCTCTGTCTCTCCTTCAGCCACCACTGCTACTCTCCGGCTGCATGACTACATGCAAACGAGGATCTGGGTCCACAATATGCTTTGGCACATTTGCAATATGTTTCCTATCTGGAAATAGGATCTTGCCCCATAGTTAATGGAGTAAATTACCTTGTTCCCTCTCCAGTGGCAGAGCTTAGAGAGAGGCAGCTACAGTCAAATACCCTCACCACAAAGCAACACCTTTGCATTACCTCATCGGTGTGGATATACTTTGTTCTGAGCGTGGCAGATACTGGGTGTTCCCGCTCCCACTGCAAATAGGAACATATTTTTATACATGACAGACTGCAGATGTGGGAGCCACATTTAGACTAAGCACGTGGTCTTAGGAGACAACCA